GCCCTAATATTAATACATTAAAAAAAATTTTTTTTGTAAAATTGATTAATATATTATTAATCAAGTTAAAAAAAGAATATTTCTACTTAGTTTTTGTATATATTAATATTAGTGTATCAGAAGTAAATTATTTTTCCTTTCATTTATAAACAGAGCATATTTCATGTACACATTTAAAACCATCTATGATTCCACAATTTTATTAATACAATTTGAGTATACACTCTTATTGAGAATGTGCAGATAGCACAATGGTTATTAATGTGGAAAGTGGAATCTGTGTGCCAAGTTTAAATTCCCACTGAGTTTTTATTCATCTTTGCAGAAATAACGTTTGGGAAAGGCATGGATCCATTACTTCTTCGCCCAACTAGGAATTTCTCTTAAGCAATCATGACAATTCACAGATATTCAAGAAAAGAGTCTATGGAGAACCATAAGTGCCTATGTTCTGAAGAAATGGAGCATTTATATATAAAGAAAACTTTTTAATATATTGGCAACTACATGGATAATTATATAGGGAATGTTATTTTCTATAACTTCATAATTTGATAATGATTTCATAAGTATCTTATTTGCAAACAATGACATTAAATACATGTTCATATGTACTAATGTGACTTATGACAATTTATTTAGGATATATAAGACAAAATAAAAACTTTTCTTTTGTCTTTGTTCAGATTTGTCTTTTTACATATCTATTTTTATTTATATCTGAATTTTGGCATATATAAACAAATATGATTATTCCTTTTACTACCAAAACTTCAAAGTTGATCAATAACCTGGAACCTGTCCCATCTCGGCAATTTCTCTTTTACAAATGATATTTAGTTTTTTATTATGATAAGTCACTTATTGTTATTAGAAACTTTTATATAAGTAAAATTGTAGAAACATCTTTTTCTTAGTTGACCAGCAGTAGTTAATCAAACTGGCCTTATAGTCCTAATTTGAATTCAGTCCTCACTTGGTTCCCCATACTTAGAGCTTTGTGTCTTTACTAAGTTGAACTGAGTAAATACCAATAATCAATAAAGCTCTTAACTATTTCTGTTTCGAGTTACACAGATAATTTTTTTCCTTTTAGGTGTTTTGTTTGTTTCTGTGGTTGGTTCGTAATATCTCTCTTTTGTCTAGCATCATTTCGCCACTCTCAAGTGTCTCAGCCAGAGGCCTTGTTAAAACCTTGGTTTCTGTGCAAGAGTTACTTTTGGGGCTCTCTTTTCTTGTTTATTCACATAATCAAAATGAATAGCTTAACAGAAAAAAATTAACATTAATAGACATTTGGAGTAGATTTGGAATAGCCCTTCCTCTTTTTAAATACATCATATTTATATATAATTTTTCTAAATCTGAAACGTTTTCTTGTACTTTAGGTAGAACAATCTAGTTCGTTGCTTAAATTAACCAACAATAATATTATTATTATTTATATTTTATGTGCAAGCAATTTCTTGAACCTGACTTTTCTACTATGATTAAGTTTCACATTTTTGAGATTTTAATCTCACTTTCATTTTTTTTTTTTTAATTTTTTTTTTTTAATCTTATATTTCTTCTTATTGTTAAGAACTTTATCTCCTGTTTGAAAACATCAGCATTTTCTGACTTGCTGATTCTTTAGTTTCTACAGTGAAATAAACTGATTAAAATGTCACAAACAGGAATTGCAGATTTAAATAAAATTTGTTAGAATAGCAGCTATGACTAATAAGTTTTCTACTTGAAAACAATTGCAAATGTCTTACCTTTTCCATCAAAAATGCTTTATTTTTATTTTATTATCCTTGCTTCCTATGGACTGTGAAAGTAGGAATCTTTGATTATATAATATATACTAATATAAATGTTATATTTAGTGGGAATATGTTTGAGTAGATATCCCTGTTTATTTCTTTGTTCATTTTTTTAATGGATGTCTACTCAAACACATGTACTCACTAAATGTAATCTCCAAAGATTTGCAATACCTATGGTTTAAAAGGAATTTCAAAAAAGAAAAATCTTGAAGCTTTTGTTTTAGTCTTAATTTCAAACTAATAGATTAAATTTAATATTTCCAATAAGCAAAGTACTTTGCTGTATTTCAGAACAAATTTAAATTATTGAAAGAGTTTTTGTTTTGCAATCAATAAGATTTGCTGATTTTAGCGTCATTTTTAACCATCTGTCAGCATAATATAATTCTCTTTATTAAAAAATCTTTCGAAAATAAAATACTTTATTTGAGGAATATTAGCTGATTTAAAGTTTAGTTAATCTAAATTGAAATAAATATTACTTTGCTTAAAATATCACAAAAAAACATAGCTGTTTATTTTAGGTCTTGACTGCTTGAATAACAAGTTTATCTAATGTTTTTTGTGGTGGACATATATGTAAAATTTATTTGAAGAATGTAACATTAGCATCTTTTTTTATATAAGTTTTAACTACCCAATAATCTTAAAAATTTATGAAAATATTCTCCATAATCTAAAGTTCTATTGCATTATAGGTATTTTGGCTTTTAGATTTACTATAGTTATTGCTCTTATTTTCTGATGTGGATGTCCACATTTACAGAAATTGCCATGTTTATACATACAAAAAAATTTTGAAATATTGGTCATCAGTGATTTGTACTAAGGTCTTCCATTTATTAGTAAATATACTTTTTACTTAACAATGTCACCTAACCTCTACAAAGTAAAACAAAATTTTTAAAAATTTAAAATTTTATAAATTATAATTAAAATTTAAAAATGAAAAGAATTCTTGTAAAAATTCATTATTCATAGAAATGTTTCTCTTAAGACAATAGTGTCTATGATATCTTGTTCATAAAAGCAATTAAGTTTTTCTAATGAAATAATGTCTTAGTTTTATGGTATTTTTTATTTTATGATTCAAAGATTTTTGGTATCTAGGGGTATTGTTTTATGAAAAGAAATTAGATTTAAATTCTCCATTAAACATTAAAACCTATAATTTTAATTTCTGGAAATTTCATAAAATTAAATAAGTGGGAGGTAACAGATGTAAAAATAAATTTTTATTTTTACCAAGATTTTCTTTAAAAAAAAAAAGAAAAAGAAAAAAGTCATTTCTAAAATAATTTCATTCATTTATGAATAAGTCTTGAAAGTATATGTAAAATTTGACCATTGTTTGATTTTGGCAGTAATTTCCAAATCCATGTTTTTCACTACAAAAAAGACGCTAAAATTTCCTATACTAATCTTTGGCCACTGCTGACACAAGAAAAAAATTTCAAATGTTTTAAAAAGGATAAAAAATCCTTTTTTCTCTCTTAAAAACAAAGATTTTGATAAAAATTTGTTGTTTTCATTAAGTTTGGAGAATTTTTTCCTGAATGTATATCAATTTTTTTTAGTGAGTCAGTCGTATCGAGTTTATAGAAATAATGTTGGATTTTTAAAATTCCATTAATTGCTTATACATATAATGCATTATGTTATGATCATGTTAGTGGATATTTCACTAGATATATGAGCTAAACATTTTGAAATCCATTTTTTGATTTGAGAGTTAAAAGGAATAGTGGGCAGCATAGAAGAATCTTATTGGATTTGAGGTAACTTATTTTGAATGAATGATTTACAGCTGACCCCCAAAGCAGGTAAAGGAAAGCCAGAGTTAAACAGGAATATTTCTGCAAATAACATATATTCAGCTTTTTTGTAGCTCATGTTGCAACTAATCTTGATTATTAAAAGTTTTCAAAAAAAATCTTGTGCATAGAAATTTTCAGTATGAAAACAGGGTTTTTTATGTTTGGTTTCTTGTCATTGTGTTTTTCATTTTTTATTTTTAAAATATGTGATCCTGATCTGTGGCAGATTCTACAAGTCATATGACCTGAACTTAATTTGTTTGAGGTTTTATTTTTTTCAAGCCACCATCTGTAGATTGCCAACCAAAGCTAGAGGTCATCTCAGTCTTCCCTATTATTTAGCCCATTGCTTGGGGGAGAAAATGGATTCAAACTTTTCACAAGGGTAATTTTTCAGAGGTAAATGTAACAAACTCTGCCAGAATTCAATTATTTTTTTTTTATTTTTTTAACATTTCCTATCATCTGAGCAATTGAAAAATACTATTAAAATTTAGTAAATATCTTATGTGTATATTAATTATATGAAAGTAAATGAGCAAGGTAGCATGATAGGAAGTGGAAAATAATTTTCTGCTGGTTCCAGTTTTTTTCTTATGTTTGCTTAGAATTAATCTTCTTGGTAAGGGGGAATCACATTGCCGAATTTAATCCCATCATCAGATTTCTTAGTGGGTTGGAGAATTGTGAGGAGGCTTAATTTTTTTTTTTTTTTTTTTTTTTTTTTTTTTTTTTTTTTTAATATTTTATTTATCTCTGAGATTGCAACTACAAATACTAGAATTTTTAACAATTTGGAAACAAACAATCAGGCCTCAGTTTCATTCAATTTAAAATCAGACATAAATATATTTTGCAATTGCTAATAGATTGAAAACTACTTGAGAAACTTATGCACAAAAGTACAATACTTAAAAAAAGACAACATGATGCCGACTGACGCATCAAGACATGGCATTCAATACATGAGCACAGACACAACCCTATCTGCACGAAACACTAAAACTGATTCAATTATTTGTTTAAATTTTTGCTGGAAACCAGCTTGAACCATATGATTAAAAAAAAAAAACTTACTGTTGGTTTTTCCCCCAAACCTGTGCATTTATATAAGAAAAGGATCTATTTTTTTTATTATTATTATTTTATTAATCCAACAGATTTTATTAAATATTATTGTTCGTGGATACTTGTATTTGAAAATTTTTCTTGGATACTCTTCTTTACACAAATACAAGTATCCACAAAAATAACATTTAAGTTATAAAATATATATATATATATATATATATGCACACACACAGACAACTCAAGTTTTGCCATTAGGTTCATCAGGTGCTGCAAGTCAATATAATTTCTTTTCCCCTAACTTATTATTACTATTACTACTACTTTTTTTAAAGACTTAATGCAAAGGTTTTTTTAAGTTAAGATATATTATTAATTTGAAGTGTTACTTACCATTGTTTAAATTGTGTGTTTTTTTTGTTTTTGTTTTTTGTTTTTTTCTTTGTCAATATTTGCAGTGACTCATGCCCTGCCACTTAACTCTACTTACAGTGCTTTACTTTTTGTTGCATATTTAGTCTACTGCTATAAAAATTGTGTGATGATATTTATCTCACAACAGCTTTTCACACAAGCTGAAGAGTCTGAAACTTAAAACTGTCATGTCTTTGGCCATCTATAAAGATAGGTTCAGGAATCTCTTCTTGTTTCAACATCAACAAAACTGAACTGTTAATAAGAAAACTGGATCTCTCTTCAGACAAACTGTGTTATTGCCATTAATGTTATTTTTACATTAAGATAACAAAGTCATGAAAAAAGAAAATGTGGGCCATGGTCAATTGGTGTGTGAAACCAACCGTTTTAAATGTTTGATTGCATAACACAAATGTATTTTATTCATACTGAGGTCAATCATCATTTATCTATAATAAAAATAATGTTATTTTTTAAAATTATTAGGCATTAACATTAACTTACTTTCAACTAGTAGTTTCTCTCCCTACTTACGAGGGGGTGCTGAAAATGGCATAATTCCCAATGTAATCAAAAACCAGATTTTATTTTTATTTTATTTTGAATCCATTCTTGCCCAGACCAAGCAATTTTCAGAACTCCATCTCCAAATACTCAAATAGGATTATTTTATTGATTTTTATTTTATTGTTTATTATATACCATATTTCTTCAAGATAGTGTTGACTCTTTCTGTAGGACAATATTGCTGTTATTGAATAATAGAATTTCTAAACTATTAATTCTGCTTAATTTCTAAACTATTAATTCATTTCCCTTGCCACTATTTTCATAGTGGCATAGGTATAAGATTACAGGCTTCAAGGAAAGCTTTTATGATTAGGAATAACTACTGATGGTCAACAGGGAAACAAATCTACTACATTGTGTTATGAGTTGCTAGCTAGATTTGTAATATGCATTCTCAAAGGACTGAAGCAACACAATGGTCACCAGGTCACAAACAAATAAGATATGCCTCATCCCTCCCTTCAAATAGAACATTTATCACATCAGCAAGGAGTGTAGAGCCATATTAGTTAAATTAGTTGCCTGTGTCAGCAGTAGCATAAATCATGGACTTGGATGTAAATCAGTTAAAATGAAACCCATGCTCAGAAAATAGCAAGG